GAGAGGTTTGGGGAATTATTGATTCGAAAAAAAAAAAAAAGTGGAAGCTGCTTTATTATGTGAGCCGGGGGCTGGGTTAAATTCAGGAGACATTATTTTGGTTGGTGGATGGGGTGGGGTGTGGAGGATACCAATATTAATAAAGCAAATGTATTTCACAGGGCCTAGCACATAGAAATGTTAAGCTTGCAAAAGACAGAAAAATTTCCCCAGGCTAAAGTCTCTGTTGTAGGTAAAAAATTGTAACACAGCAGCAAAAATGCTTGCTGTAAGGGCAGATGTCCTTGGTGCAGCTAAACCTAACGAGTGTTGCCATGACAATTATCTCATTCTTTTTGTAACCACCTATGTTCCTTTTCTATAACTTTCTTGCCTGGACAATAAATACTGAAAGAAAATCTGATTTAGGGTTATTTATAAGGAATGCTTCTTTCTTGAAGGTTCTGGAAGTAGCCCTTTCGGGCCTCTCACTGCTCAGAAAAATGGGCTTTGAGTAATCCTTTGTATCTCCATCACCCTGGGAGAGGTGACAGTGGGGTTGGGCAGGGAGCCCAGGGAGTGTCTTGGGCCTTGGGGATGGGGAGCCACTGAGGTCTTAGGGACAGAGGGGCATGTGTGAGGGTGCATCCATGCTGAGGCATGGGCCACATGCCAGGAGGAGAAGCCGTATGTGAGTGGCGTGGGGTGTCCGGGAGACCTGGCATCACCATCAAGGTGAGATTCTTCACACCTAGGTTGTGCTGTCCACCGACAGACCACTCACAAACATGGTGTATTTAGTCCCTGTGTGTTGGCGTGGGCAGGCAAGGGGATGGCCCTGCCACAGGCAGCAGGACTTGTGACCAGGGCTCTGGCTCTGGGTACTTAGAGGAGGCAGGAAGTTCACTCATCACTGCAAATCTCACTTGCAAAATGTTTCTTGCAGATCCAAGACATTGTCCGGAGTCGGCAGCTGCTGACTGTCTTCCGGGAAGGCAAGGACGGTCAGCAGGATGTGGATGTGGCCATCCTGCAGGCCTTGCTGAAAGGTGAGGGTCAGGGAAGGTAGGGACAGTGGGAGAAGAGGCCAGAACACGGGTCCTCAGGATGTTGTGTCCCAGTCTTGAGGTGCCAAAGTGCTCCCCCTCGGCCAGATGCACTGGGTGGCGGCCAGCTGGTGGTGGGCCAGCCGTCTCCTGCCAGGAAGGTGGGTGCCTGCCCGTCACCTGCACCTGGTGTTAGGGGTACAAGCTCCTCTCTGCAGTGTATCTTCTTAGCTGAAACCCAAGTGCAGGCTGCGCTCATTTATACCTTTGTGGTCATCGTGATTTCTCATACAATTTCAGGGTAGAAGGAAAGAGCCGTGGAAGTCACCGCTCCCGACTTCCCACTTTGAACCATGCTTAAACTCCTTTGCTTCCCACACACAGCAGAGCCCTCAGGAACAGTGTGATGAACTCTCAATGAGCAGATGTGAGCTGCTAACCCTGCTCCTTACCTGGTTCTGTCCCACGGCCCGTCCCTGGCCGCACATTTCACTGTTTTCATCTAGTGCTCTGCAGAGAAGGTAAATGCTCTCCTCGTCCTTCCCTGCTGGCTTGACATTGCAGGGACAGCCCTGATGCCAGGGAAGCTTCTGCTGTGTGCGCGCCTCTCCTCCTGGGGTCGGGCTCATCACCTTCAAGGGTCAGACCCTGGTGGGGCTTGGTGGAGCAGCCCCGGCCAAGGATCAGCAGGAAGCTTTCGTGGTAGCAGGTCAGACTTTAATCTTATTTCTGTATATCAATTTTATACCTCCTACTGATCCAAGGACTTGATACTGTGCCTAAAGCATCACATAGACAATGAGTTGGTTAAAACTAAGACCAGAGACTTCTGTTTAAAGGCCTGTGTCCCGGAAGAATGTAGCCCAAACAGAAAAGAGACAGAAAGAGCCCTCCTGACAAAAGCACTGGGGATTCAGCCTCATGCAAAAGGAGCCAAGCAGACTTCCATCCAGGAAGATTCCTGCTTGAACAGAGAAAAGCCGGGAAGTGCCTATTTAAGAGTCGAAGTGGTGGCATCAGCAGGTGACTCACCGCTGTGTACCCGAGTCCCTAGCCAGGAGGGACAGTGAAGGCCCGGGAAGTGGCATGAGTAGCTGGGTGAAGATGGCAGGTCTGAGTGCCACCAGCAGTCCATCCAGTCACGGTCCCCAGATGGTTCTGGTTACAGCAGGAGCCGTGACAATGTCCGACTCTTCTTTGCCTTTCTCTAAAGCCAGCCAAAAGTAATGAGGAGGGAACCCCGGGAAGCTGTGTCTGGTGAAGTTCGAAGCTGCCGGGGCCCTCACAGGCACTGACAAGGGGCCTGCTGTGGGTGCTAAGTCTGACCTTTGGAGAGGCACAGCCCTGGGAGAGATGGAGGTGGCTGCTCACATCACAGGACAGGCAGGACTCGCAGCAGGAGGCTGAGTCACAGACGCCAAACTCCAGGGACTCTGCCCCACTGTTAGGAAGTTCAAGAGCAAGCAGAGCTAGTTTGCAGCGGTAGAATAGCGGTTACTTCTGGGTGGGCGTTGACCGGGAAGGGGCATGAGGGAGTCTCTGGGGTACTGGAATGTTTTATATCTTGATCTTGGTGGTGGTCGTGCAGGTGTAAATGTCAGTAAAAAGTCATTGAGCTATATGCTTAAGATTTGTGCACTTTGGAGGTATGATATTCTCAAAAAGTTTTCAAAAGCATATTAGTCAGCTCAGGCTGCCATAACAAAATACCACAGACTGGGCAGCTTAAAAAACAGACATTTATTTTCTCACAGTTCTGGAGTCTGGACATCCCAGATCAGAGTGCCGGCATGGTCAGGTTCTGGTGAGGGCCCTCTTGCTGCCTTGCGGACGGCACCTTCTTGCTGCTTCCTCACATGACCTTTCCTTGGTGCATGGGGGGGGGGCGGGGAGGGAGAGGGAGGTCTCTCTGGTGTCTCTTTTCATAAGGACACTAATCCTATTGGTTCAGGACCCCGCCCTTATGACCTTAATTACTTACTTAATTAATTTAACCTTAATTACTTCCTACTC